AAAAAAAAAAAAAATACAACAGGAAATGAACATCTACATTTTGTGTGCGGGTTGGGGATTTTCCCCATCAAAGAAGTCAATTTACCATACTTTATCCGTACCTTCGCCATGGTTCAATAATTACATCTTCTTCTTTCCATCTTATGAGTGTATTCCTTGCTTCAACAATAAATGAGAAAAATGCTTATCCACTGATATTCTTTGATTTCCCTTGGACTTAACCACTAAACAGCTGTCTCTTTCCTTTCAACTGCTAAAATGTGGATCTCTTTGAGCTGGCAGGAAAGAAATGTAGTAATACCTTTGGACTCAACCTCCACAGCCATTATTATTTATACCAATCAACATTCTCATAATAGCAAATAAATTCCACAGAAATTTCTCAAACAGATCCAAATTCTCATGGTTGGAAGCTGATTGCTTATTCTTAGTGACTAACTGATGCTAGGTTTTTGATTTTGGTAGTTGCAGGATTTGAATAATCTTTCTGTAGGTTAAAATGTCAAATCTATAATGCTTCCAATGTAGTTGATGCTGCAGCTGCTATGTATTTAACTAAACGTGGTTTGTTTGAGAGAGAGAGAGAGAGAGAGAGAGAATGAACAATCGTTTGAGTTAGAGAGAAAATCAACAATGGTTTCAGTTATGGTGTTGATATAGTCATGGAAGTTTCTTGCCTCTGGAGGCTTTGTAGAATGTAGAAGAGAAATAACTTATGCAGAAACCATCTGACTACAGAATACATATTAAAATGAGAAAACCCCTTGGAATCATTTTAACTGGCTGATAATTTCTAAAATTTGCTCTTCATAAAAAAAATTCAAAATTGGCTTTGAGTCTTACTGCCGAAGAGTATGATGCGGGAATCTGCACCTTTTAGGGGAATCACTGATATAAACTGATGCATTCTTCCTCTAATTTCATATTAGGATTGCCTTCTTTGTCCCACAGGCTTTTCAGCCAACATGGCTTTTATGACTGCTGTAGGCAATGTCAGTATGCTCTTAGCTAGTGGAGGTCAACCTTCAGTAAATGCAAGGGTTGCTGTCTTTTCTGATGCCCTGAATCATGCATCAATTATTGATGGTATACGCCTAGCAGAGAAACAAAAGAGCATAGCTGTTTTTGTCTACCGGCATTGCGACATGCGCCATCTTAATGAGCTATTGTATGTTCTTATTTTATTTTATTTTTCTACCTTCCTTTGATGTTATTGTCTCTTTGACTAATTGTGTGTTTGTGTTTTAACAGAACAAATTGTACAATGAAGAGAAAAGTTGTCATTACTGACAGGTTAGTATCGATTAAAGTTTCAATCTCTATCAATTTCATTTGTTCTGGCATCATCCAAGAAATCTACAATGAAAAAGAAAGACAAAACAGTAAACACAAAAGCTGAGATAAAAGAACGAAGGAGTTATGGCGGTGCTGAAGTCGTAATGTGCATAGAGAATTGCTTCTCTTTGATTGAGTTATTTGTATGATATCTTTTACGGTGCAGAGATGATGCAGTGATTGATAAAAGTAGTTGTAGGAATATTTGATGAATCCTCACGTTTGTTCTTATTACCAGCTTATTTAGTATGGATGGAGACTTTGCCCCAATGCTTGAGCTTGTGAAGCTTCGTAAGAAGCATGGATTTTTGTTGGCAATTGATGATGTAAGTTCCAAAGCACCTGATACAAAAGTCTGTCATTTTATCAATTTGATGATGCAAGTTTCAAAGCTTCTGATGCCAACACCTGTCACTTTATTTTGTTACTCTAATCTCACCACAGCTTTAGACATTAAAGTTTCCTTCCTCTATACATAAATCTAGTGCATATTTTAGTGGAACCATTTTACAAAGTAAATGATGATTAAAATTTCACCCCCGGGTCTTTGTAGCGGTAATCACATAATGTGTGATGCGTGGGTTAGGCGTTACGTCGCGGAATCAAACCCGCTTGGAATTTAACTGGAGAAGGATAGAGGGGCGGCCCCGTTATCCGTCGAGTTTCGGACCAGGCACCACTAGCCTGGGGGTCTCAGATATAAAAATAAAATAAATTAAAGTCAGTCTCCATGTTCATTTACTTTCTCCCTAAATCCTGTTCATGTGATCATTTGTGGCAGTGAACTGCATTTTTCTACTTGTATAGTTAAATTGGGTTGCTATGATAGCTTAATTAATTGTGACAGAATTTAGTTCTTCTTTCCCTCTCACTCGTAGGCTCATGCAACATTTGTTTGTGGTGAAACTGGTGGTGGGGCCGCTGAGTTGTTCAATTGTGAAAGTGATGTGGACATTTGCCTAGGTACTCTGAGCAAGGCTGCAGGTTGCCATGGTGGATTCATAGCATGCAGGTAAAAGTATTGAAAGAACAGAGGAAGCTTGATACATATGCTCTCTGATTTAAAATTATCGAGTACTGATTGGATTTATAGTTCTTATCTTCTGTTGATTAATTTGTTCAATGGACCTGAGACTTGCATTTAGGAGCAAAATATTTTATGTACTGCTGAGAGTCCCAACATTGAAACCAGTTGACAGTTGAATGACACTTTGGTGCCAGTCTCGCTTCATGAGAACTTGAACCAGTCCTATGTAGAAGATTGATTTTGCTTACCTTTATTTGTGCGAATCATCCATAAAACTCTGGGTTTAGATCTGGTTCTCTATCCCTGAAGTTTGAGTTGAAGATATTTATCCTTGCAAAAGGCAATACCTGGTCTGCTGTATTAGCTTTTCTTCCTATTACATGTGGAATATTTCCCTCAAACAACAGCACATATATATTGAACAATCCAATGATAGCCGCCTTTGTTTGAAAAAAGAAAGAAATTTGATTATGGCCACACTGCCCACCTTTTTGAAAGTCAAATTGATTGTTGTGAGCCACAATAGCTTTATGGACACACTAGCCTCGGGGGATCTCTCGGTTATTAAAAAAATTGGACTACTAGGTACATATTAGATAGTCATATTGACCATTATTTTCAATCAGAAGTTATTATTTACAATTCTTCTATTTTTTGGGGTTGAAATGCTAAATGAACAGCAAGAAATGGAAGCAATTGATACAATCAAGAGGCCGCTCTTTCATATTTTCAACTTCTACCCCGGTGCCTGTAATTGCTGCTTCCCATGGTAAATCTACTTATCAGAATGAAAAATTTAGTTATTGCTCTTATTTGAGGCCATTTTATAAATGACAGTATTTGTTTTTGTATCTCATAACTGAGAGAAGTGGGGAGTTTCTCCTTCGTTCCTTCCTGCCTTTTCCTTCCTTCTTTTTCACTTAAATAATGGTGGTGTCGGTCCAGTTTGCATGCACCTCAACTATCTTGTCTTACCTTAATCCTCCCACAAGTACCGAGTAACTCTTCCCACCAAATCTTAGATAGAAGAGAAGAAATCACCCTTTTTTTTCTCTGGTGTAATTCGAACCCTGGTCTCTCATGGTCTTCGTTCCATCTTCATCGACTGATAAGGTGCAAGAAATGGATAGCCTTATCTGGCACTTAAGTGAAATATTGTCTTTCTCAATCTCATATTTATGGACAATTTTTTTCCTTATCCTAGATGAAAAAAATGCAAAGGAAATATGGCCTATTAAAAATAAGTGTGAGCTGGAAAACTGAACTGTGTTAGGATGGAGACTGGACATAATTTTCGAACTGCGAGCTTATTGCGGCTTACTTATACATTGTTAATGATGTAACGTATGCAGCTGCTGTTGTTGTGGCAAAAAAGGAGATGTGGCGTAGAAGAGCTATTTGGAATAGGGTGCAAGATTTCCGTGATTTAACAGGAATTCCCATTACAAGTCCTATCATCTCCCTTATTGTGGGAAATGAAGCGACGGCTCTGCAATCTAGCAGGTTACCTTTCTTACTGTCCATCTCTCTTTGTCCAGCGCGGTCTCTCTTAATTTGTTCATAACTGTCTCATTCATTTCTTAACAGGCATCTTTTGCAACTTGGCTTTCACATAACTGCAATAAGACCCCCAACAGTGGCTCCTAACTCATGCAGGTTTGTCGCTGATGTATCTCTCTCTCTCTCTGAAGTTGTGATGACTCCTGATGATTTTTTCACACCTTCATCTGCATGATAATTATATATTACATTACTTTCTTTATAGTCTGCAATTTTAGTGTTGGGGCGTCTCGTACTTGGCTATGTGTAGAATTTTGGGTTGGTTTTCTTGCATTTCCTCTTTGTTTTCGAGGAACTTTGAATGAAGCTGGTTTCAATTTTGACATGCTTTTATGATGTTTTTGGTCATCAAGTGCACCTTGCTTGATTTGTTTTTTCTGACAGTGGCTTATCTTGGGCTTTTACTTGTTAAGCAGTTTCAGAATATTATCCTACACATACAATAGGTTCATTAATTTTTACTTTCTTTTCTCATTTTCTCTGAACTCAAATTCTCTCTTGCCTACTCCCCTTTCCTCAGGTTAAGGATAACACTGAGTGCAGCTCACACATTGGATGATATAAGAAAGCTCATAGCAGCGCTGTCTCAATGTGTCAACTTCAGTGAGATCGGATTCTACTGCGCAAGCTGGAATGCCCGACTCTAATTATATTTATTTGTTTTTCGATGCATTTGCTTATTTAGAAGAGTGGATTTTAGTATGAAATGCAATTAATGAAGACATCTGCACAAGAGTGACTTGTAATGTTCTTAGCATTCTATAGTAATTTAGCAGGTCTAATTTTCGTACAGTAAATACGAGCTGCAATTAATGAAAACGATGCCGCCTTCTGTAAGTGAAATCGTGAATTATTTACATTGGTTTTTGCCCCTTCTGGCGATGAAATCTAGCAGTTAATGAAGTTCAATAAGTAATAATTTTGGCACCCAATTGATGAAGGGTACGAAGTCTGTTCTCAGCCACTTGCTGGTTTAAATAAAAAATCTGTTCTCAGCAACTTTCTGGTTTAAATGAAAATATAATGCCATAAAAATCATAGTATCATTTTGTCAAGTGTCAGTTGAACTCGAAACATATATTTCTTCAACTTTAACTCTGAGGTTGGATATTAAATGCTGGAGTATATTTCCTTCCATGCAGATTTACATACTTCATCTACCGGTTCAACCCAAGTGACCAGCAAAACAGAAAGATACACAGATTCCTACCAATACCATTAGAATAACAGCATCCATAGCAAAAGCAAAACAAGGCAAAAAAAGCAGAATCTTCAACTTATATACCCTTGGAAACAAAAGGACCTAATAATAGTCTAGATACTATACCCTATGTAGTTCCCCTAAATATGAACCAGTTACCAATTTCTCATTCAATGATGGACTCATCTGAGGCATCAGTGTTGCTTGGAGTAGCCAGAACTAACCAACTTGCAGCACCCTGGGGCAAGGATGTGGCTGAAGAAGAGCAGCATTTGCTTGCTTGTTGCTGACCTGAGTCCTTCTCACTCATGGCAACCTGGCTAGCCCTGTCATCTCTTGAAGCTTGCCATGGTTTACTCATCTTGTCTCCATGAACCGGAGAGGGCAATGACTTGAATACATACATAGAGAAGGTGGCAATCAATTATTAAGTCCTTTCTGCAACATAAAGATTTCACTAAAATGCAAGTAATTTAGCATTGAAGAGAGAGGATGGTATACTCACATGAGGCATGACAGTAGTTGTGGTTATAGTTTGCCTTGATGTTGGGGCTTGCCGAAATACTTCACCAGTGCTAAAAGGGACATCATTTAAGTTGATCAGAGTGGTTGTCTTGTTGCTAGTAGAGTAATTGTTATCCCCAGCTTCATAGCGAGTTTCACTAGAGATGGTGGAGACAGTAACAGTGACAGCTCGTCTTTCAGGAACAGGCTTGACAGGGGAAACTGGCTGCTGCTTATCCTGCTGGTAGTAAGGCAGCAGTGAAGGAGCTGTTATGGCAGTGGAAGAAGAGACTGAGGGTGGTGTAGGGACCATATGAACATCTTCAACCTGGACCATAACCTGATTGGACATGTTGCCACCATTGTTCTTGTTGTTGCGAACCATGTTTGGCCAGAGGAAACTACCCTGGGGCTTGCAGATCCTGAAACCACTCTTAAGCCTTTGTATCTTGGCAGCTTTTTCCTCAGCTGTTGGAGTAGTTTTTTGTGCTTTTGTTGCTGCTTTCAGCTTGGGGTCAACTGCTATTAGCTCCTTGCTCTGATCATCATCAGCTGCTTTTGATCTCTTCTTTTCCTCCACTGTTACTACCTCTTGCACTCCCTGTTTCTCTGGTTCCACTTGCTTTTTCTTTCCTTCTGTCGACAACATTAATGCGGAGATTGACTTTTCTTTTTCTTCCAGTTTAGACACTAGGCCCAGACACTTTTCCTGTATTCATAACCAGAGCACCCATTTTAATTACCAGTCCAAACAGTAGTTATTATTACATATCATAGTACATGCTACAGTAATATGCATCTACTTCCTAACCAGTCAAGCCATTAGCCTCAACCTACATTCCCAGTCACTCCTAACAAGAAACATAAAAACTCAGAGAATTAACCAGAGAGGGGAAATAATGCATGTTTGATGGATTAGAGAAATGAATATAAGTTGGGTATCTCAATTGTTATTCGAAGCACAAGGTGAAAGTGTTAGTGGCATCTAATTAATTCCAAGCATTCATGTGGCTACATGCAAAGCAATAGCATGGCTCCAATTTGACCAATTTGGACTTTGGGGGTCCAATACTAACTTAAAAAAAAGCGGAGGACTAGAATTTATTCAAGAACGTTTGTTAGTTGATTAGAATACCTCCATTTTGGCCATAAAATCTGAAGTGGTCATCATTAATTGCTTCTTGTATTTTTCCTGCCACAAAAAAGGAACATGAAGTGTAATTATCACACGGGTTAGGAATGATAAACTACTATCGTCTTTTAGAAATTAATACGTTACCATTGTCTTTGAAGCCTCAATAGCTTGGCTTTGCTTCTTCTTGAATTCAAGCTCCTCAATCCTTCTGCTCAAACAAAAAAAAAAGAAAAGAAGAACATATTAACACAACCATAAATTATATTTCACCAACACAAAAACTTTGAATTACAGTAATCATAAGTACTGTATTTACCTTTTCAGCCTTCCAACTTCTTCTTCCAACTGTTCCTTGGAACTCACCATCTCCTCCCAGTCTCTGATTATGATAACAGTCATAACAAAACCCTCAGTGCTCCACATGAATAATCATAGAACAACTTCAACTTTTTCCTGTTACATAGACATTTGCACATTGAAAAGCTAGTGAAGAATTTTCTGTTAAGTACCTTTTGAGTACAAAAATCTCATCTTTCAGGTGCTTGAATTCCTGAGCACAAATAGGGTGTTGAATGGGGGAGTCTCCAAGCTTCCAACCAGGTGGGGGAATCCAATAAGGATCATTAACACCAGCCTCCTTCCTGATGTTAACTAAGTCAGCACTCTCCAGCCAATACTCCATTGCTCCCTCAGCATTGTGCCTGCGGCGAAAACGTTCAGTTCCTCCAGGTGCAATCTTACCGGCCAAGTGCTTGAGCAGATGATCCAGCAGGCCCGTATCTCCAATGCGCTTCCGCGCCTCTGCTCTCAACTCTGGCCTTATAATAGGGTTATTAGCCATTGCTCCCTTTGCCTTCATCACCTCCATTAAGTTTTTCTCCGCCAACTCGTACCTGAACACATTTGAAAAGGGAAATGATTCAGGGGTCTTTTTTTCCCCTTCTGAACCTGCAATACATATAAAGTATTTAATTACCTCTCAGCAGACCAACGGTCTTTGGGGTCTTTGTATACTGACAAAACCCTGCATTTGTTTTTCTTCTTAATCTTATTTTTCTTCTCGGGACCCCTTGTTGTCTTTGCCTTTTTCTTTACTGTAGTTGTTCTAAAGCTATACCTCTTTCTCTTTAGATTCTTGTTAGTCTTTTCTGTTACAGCTTCCTCATCATCTTCCTCTTCTGCTTCTTCATCTTTTTGCTTTACTGATTCACCATCAATTTCATCTTCCTCCTCGTCGTCCTCTTCCTCCTCTTCATCTTCTTCAGATTTTTCTGGTGTTTTCAGTTTTGGAATTTCTTCTCCTTGAACAAAGCTGGAAGAAGACTTGGTGTTGTTGCTTTGGTCTTCGTGTCTCCCAAGAAACTTGACCTGCCGGCGTATTCCCCAAGTAACCATCCCATTGACCTTAAGCTGAGACAAGCAGATGCCATTCTTTGCAGCAGGAACAGCGCCCAAAGTAGTATAGTTGACTAACCAGAAGCTATGAAGATGTTTCTTCTCGGCAAACTCCTGAGAAGGAACTTGACGAAGAAGCACTTTACTAGCCAGAGCTGTTCCCATTACGAACTTCTCATCAAAAGCTGGATACATTTCTCGTTTGCTATTGCTGAAGTATGTTTGTAGTGACTGCATGCTCGGGTACCTCACTGCCACATTCAATACAGTTCTCTCGCTCACCTGAAAAATCAAAGCATATTTGGGTTAATTAATTAGTCTACGTTAAACTTTAGAACCAGAAAATAATTTTTGTACTATAACATCAGGATTTTCTCACCATAGCAACTCGGATGGACTTGAGTTGAACTGGGGTCCTAGGAGGCAAATATAAATGATCAATCTCGTAGATAGAACCCATCTCAATATTCATCTTTGCATTCTGCAGAATTTCATGGTCTGCTGAAAAGCAAAGAAAAGGATCATAATAAGAATACATTTTCCCAGAAACTTAAGCTACTTTTGAAAACCCAAAAGCTTACTTATTAGATATATAGATACTACTACACAAAAACAAATGCCGAAATGGGGGTTTAAGAAATTGATTCATATGAGGTTAAAATACAGTACAACTACTGCAGAAAGAGAGTGAGTGAGTGAGTACCATTGCGTTTTAGGGTACAGCGATCAGATGTGGGCAGAAGAGGTTGGTTGTCATGTCTGGCCAAAGCTGGAGTGTCTGCGCAGGCGACACTGCTTTGCTTTTGCCCTTTCAGGTTATCCATTTCCTGTATGTATATACAATAAAGCTGTATTACAAAAGATGAACACCCACTACCACCATTATCCTTTCTGATCAGACTAGTACAATATATATGCACGTACTCTCTCTCTCTCTCTTTTCTTCAAATATGTCACAGAATATACTCAAACACGAGTTTATTATATACACTATGATCACTTAGAATATTATATTAACATATGCATAATCTAATTAGTATTTGTATAATAAGTGTTTCTTTCGCCCCACTCATGCGGGTTATTTAGCAATCGCCATCATCATTATCAAGCAGATTTCTTTTTGTCTTTTTGCAGGAAAACACAATACATGCACGCACTCGTATTGAAAGCTACTGCTCAAGTAAAAATGCCATTAATGTGGCGCGTGCATTTGATCATAACAATATGTTAAAGGCGCGTGTAAAGGACTCACATTTAATGAAGCCAAAGAATAGCATAACAGAAAAAGGAAACTTTCAGATACTGATTTTCTGATAAAAAACCACCTCCTTGCCTGAAGTAGTGCACCTATTTAGAGAGAGAAAAAGCGTATATATATAGAGAGAGAGTGCTTACGAGGTTGGCTTGAATGGCTTTTTTGGATCTTTTTCTGTAGTAAGTTTCCATTGTTGCCATAATCTGTAGGCAAACAAAGCAAAGAACATACTTATTAATTATGTGTTTAACGATAACGATTTGCATAAAAAGTTGGATTTTTTGGGGTTAGATTTCAAAAAGTTGAAAATGACAATCTATCTGGGTAAAACAGAAATCAAAAGAAAAGTGGAGAAGTACTGTTGAGCTGCCATTAGGGTTTTCCCCCAGAAATGATCAGTTCCGTGAATAGTATTGCATTAAATATAGCGGCTCAAAAGCAAAAAGAGCAAAAACACTCATACGGATAAATACTCAGACATGAACTGCTAATATTCATGCTCAGTGTCCGTACATTTCAACACTCTCATGCTCTTCTGTATACGCCAACTGAATATTTGTATATTTATATAATATTCATCCATACACAAGCAGTGCAAGCACTGATGCCTTTTGACTAAACTGCTGCTTGATCAGTCCTACACGGAAATCGCAAATAAATGCATGATTCATGAACTTTTATATTCATATCAAAGCAAGACGAAAAAAAGAGAGGAAGTTGTGATTTTTTTGTTTTTTTTGGGAGATTTTAGTTTACTAAAGAGAATCAACACATGAAATGGTTGCAATTTCGAACACCCTAGAGTACTCCATTTTTCTTTCCCGAGAAAAAAAAACCAAGATGGTTTCTTGGAAAAAAATTTACAGCATAAAAAATGAAGAAACCCTAACTGCCATATATCCATCCCCGTCTATACACACACACACACCGATACACACACTTACACACAGAGAGAAAGAGTTAGAGATATTATTCATCTGCAACAGTAAACACTTGTTTTACTGAGGCGATTGAGGATTGAAGTGAGAAATAAAAAGAAGAACATAGGAGAGAAAATGAAAGCTTTGTTTATACCTATCGTCGTATATGCTGAAATTAAAGACACTGAGGTATGGAGAAAATGCTGTGGAAGAAGAGAGATAGTGAATGGAAAAGTATAGAGAGATTGTTAAGAAAACATGTATATAAATGGAGTTTAGATGATTCTGGAATTTGGAATAATAATTTGGAATTGTATTGTTGCAAAGTGCAATGATAAAATGGAGTGAAGGAAGTTGTTATACTGAGAGTTGGGAGCAGTACCGAAATGAAATTGAGCAGAAAAGAGAGAGAGAAATGATAAAGTTAACTGATAACGCAACGGCGAGTGAGGTCTGGTCTTGGTCCCCGCTATGTAGAAAGACGACTATGCCCCTACGTGATGCTACATTGCCCTTCTCTTTCCTTCCATTGTTCCTTTTGTTTCTTGCTATAGAGCAATAGACAGTGATTCAAACTATTCAAAACTAAGGCCGAATTCATATATTACATAAAAATATGCACTTAATTTGCCTAATAGAGCTATAACAATTACTCAGATTATATATGAAATAAACAATGCGAACCTTAGGTGGATTTAAATTTTAAGCATATGGATACAAAATATTGCAATTTGGACATACAATTATACTTTTTTTAAAGAAAAAAAATAGTATTTGAAGTTAAGTTAAAAAAGAATATTAAAAATTTAAAATTATATTTGGACATATATTTCACTTTGAAAAATATTATAATTTTATGAGGAAAAATGAATTTTTACTTGAAAAAGTGGTAGAAACTACTGTTTCAAACTTGAAACTCGTCTTCAAGAAAAATTTCAAAAATTTAGTACAATTTATACCCAAACAATATTTTGAAGATGTGTTTCGAAAAGAAAAATAAATTATGAACAAATAGGTCCTTAATTTACAACGAACTCAGTTAACAATATGCCTGAGTTACAATAATTTGCTCTGCTGATCAACTATGAACAATTTGTCATGAATGTGCATGCCTCAGACGAGTATTAATCCCCCCCAAGAAAAAAAAGGTTTAATAAGATTTCCTAATTTCCTTCTTTTTCGCATTTTTGAAATCTTATCGACGGTCACTAAATGAAGCGAGACTATTGAATGTTGTTTATTTAGAAAGTTAGATACCAATTTAGTTTTTTTCCCCCCTTTTTCCTACGTTGCGTTTAAAGCGAAATTTAACTTTTCGGTAAAGCGACGAGTTCCGCCAAAATATATACTTTTGATTTAGCTTCGTTTTTTACCCCAAAAGAATACATAATATAAATTGATCGGGGTTGACTTACTAGGTGAAATTCCTGCATTTAACACTTAAGATGTTGAGGGTTTAAACCCCATTATTACTGTAGTATCCCCTTTCGTTTTCCCCCCTCCACTTACCCAACCAGGATGTAATTTAAAAAATATAGATTGATCTTACGACCTGTCAAAATTGAAAACAAAAATTTGGTATATAACCTCAGCTTGATCTAATTAAACCCTGCCAAAATTGGAAACCAAGATTTGATATATATATATATATATATATATATATATATACTATGTGCTCCCTCTGTTCCAATTTATGTGTTATACTGTCATGTTTTTGTCAAAAAAATAATATCATACTTCCTTATTTAGAAATAATCAACTTTAAACTTCATATTTTATCGTGAATGACATGATTTATAGCCACACAAACTCTTCTCACTTGTTTTCGATGATAAATTTTAAGGCAAAATACTTTAAGACCCCCCTAACTTGGCATTGATTATTAATTACAACCTTGAACTATTCGTAGTATTAATTACTCCCCTGAACTTGGTTATTCGATAATTGTTATCCCCTTGGACAATCTCATCCTAGGAAAGTGACGAGTAGAACTGTCAATATGGACTGGCCCAACCCAGCCTACGCGGGCTTTGGCATTTGACGGACTAGGCTAGGCTGACCTACTATTTCGATGGTTCCTTAAAATAGTCAACCCAGCCAAGCCCTACGTGGGTCATGGGCCCCCACGGGCCGGACCACCATTTTTAAAATTATTTTTCATATATTTTAAAATTTAAGTTTCATATTGGATAGAAAGCTTTTGAAAAATGTCAAGACCCAAATCTCCCTCTGTAGGATGTCGTGATGGCACCTAATCTCTAAGACTAGGTAAGCCGATTACAATTACATTTTGAGCTATTTTTTTAAAACATATAATTTAATACAAGTGTCGAAACCAACATCGGAAATAATTATAACAACCTATCAAGACTGATAATATTGAGTTACCAGAAAGCCTATAAATACAACTGTTTTGAAGTAGAGATAAAACAATGGGAGAACAATATCAGAAGGTGACTCCGAAGCTTGCGAACTCAGCAACATGTTTACCTTGAGTCTCCACAACAAGATCCGTACAGCTAGCTAGCGATCAACTGACTCCAATTTACCTAGCTCTGTACAAAAATGTACAGAAGTGTAGTATGAGTACACCACAGTCGGTTCCCAGTAAGTATCAAGACTAACCTCGGTGGAGTAGTGACGAAGTACAGTCAAGACACTCACTAGTCAAATAACCTGTGCAATATAATATACAAAAATAATAGGAAATAAATAGCAGTGATAGCAATAATAACCAACTAGTGATATAAACAACAAGGCAGCAAGAATACCATAATTATTACTCAGACGAATAAGAAACACAAGTACAACCAATTAAACAAGTCCTTCAAATATAAATCTTTCGCATATAATTCTTTCGAATAAATACCCTCTGAATATATTTCTTCAAATAAATAATCCTTATATAAAAATCATAAAATACGGGTTTCAGCCCCCTTTAATATTCTCACGGCACCTCGTTCCCATATCACTATCACAACCGCACAGACAACTCTCGTGCCAAATATATCAATACATAAAATATGCACAATCAATTTATTTTCAATAAATTAAGGTTACAAATTTTAAACCAAGTAAGAATTCAACAAAGAAATGAGTTTATTTTTGAAATAGTTCGAGTAAAGAAAATGACATTTCAATTAAAATAAAGCATCAGATAAGCTACTGATTTGGATATAAAACTTATTAAATTAAAACATAATAGTAATTTTTTTAATTTAAAATAACTCAATCATTAAGAACAAGTACAAACCAGAAATACAAATCCTCAGAGTCTCGTACGAAAAAGACAAAGTGTAATGACCCGACTTGTCGTTTTAAGAATTAACGCCCCGTTCAGTGACTTAAGGTCTCAGAAGCCTCAAAATATGTATTATGACCCGCGTGTGTGATCGAGTTTGATTTACGGATGATTTGGAGAGATTTGGGACACTTAGTCCCTAAGACGGAAGCTTAAGTCTTAGAATTTCGACTGTACTCGGAACTGTGTGAAGACGACTCCGGAATGGAATTCTGTTGGTTCCGTTAGCTCCGTTGAGTGATTTTGGACTTAGGAGCGTGTTGGGACTGTGAATCTGAGGTCTGTAGCCAATTTAGGCTTGAAATGGCGAAAGTCAAATTTTTGGAGAATTGGACCGGAAGTGGACTT